TTTATGCCATATAGTAAATCTTGTCGCTTCTATCTCTTCAGTATAGTTGAACAGAGCTCTAATGAGAGCTATTCTCGGATCATGTCATCTTTTTCCATGTCATATACTAATTATCTTCCATTCTATATATGCAGTATGATTGGACAGGGCCCTCCTGTGAACTATTCTTTGATCATGTCATCTTCTTTCATGTCATATACTAAATCTATGCTAATTTATCTCTGCATTTTAGTTGAACAGCAATTTTATGAGTAAAACTCATTGGTCATATCACCTTCTTCCATGCCATATAATAATTCTCTCCCCTTCTATATCTCCAGTATAATTGCACAGAGCCCTACTGAGAACTATTCTCGAATCATATCATCTTCTTTCATGTCATATACTAAATCGTTTTGCTTCTATCTCTCCAGTATAGTCGAACAGAAATTTTTTGAGAAACATTCATTGGTCATATCATGTACTTTCATGCCTGATATGTAAAATGTTTTCACAGCTATCTTTCCAGTTAAGTCGAACAGTGACTTGCTTAGTAACATACATTGGTCATATCAGCTACTTTCATGTGCAATATGCTAAAAATTTTCGCTTTTATCTCTCCAGCAGAGTTGAACAAAAACTTAATGAGAGCTATTCCTTGATCATGGCATTCTCTTTCATGTCATATACTAAATCTATGCTATTATATCTCTTCAATATAGTTGAACAGCAATTTTATGAGAAGCATTTACTGATCATATCATCTTCTTTCATCGGATCCACTGTAGATCTTTGCTTAACCGTCGCTACTGTTGTTAATTAGAACCTTGGTAATAATCATTCTCTCATCCTATCACCTTTTTTCTGATGGTAACTATTTAAGGCCCTGAATTCCGTGTCTCCAATGTATTTTAATAGAAGTCTTTTTATAACCGTGCATTATCGATGTTATTGTTGCTCATATTACTTACATCTAACAAATGCTTCCACCTTTTCTGAATTATCAAACAAGATGTTGCTCAGGATCATTCCTTCGTCGTGTTATTTTTTTTCATGGCGTGTACCAAAATTTTTCTTTTCAGCTATGAATTTGTTGACCAGTGCCTAATGAAAATTGTTTCTTGGTCATGTCAACTGCTTTCTAATGAGTCAATAACGATCTTTATTTACGTGCTTCAAACATAGTTGAAGAGAATTCTGCTGAAAATCATTCCATCGTCACTTCATGTGTTTTTCAATGACCAAGTCGCATTCTTTTAGTTCACTCTTATAAAGTTAGTTGAATGGAATAATTCTGGGATTCGTTCGTATTTCTTTTCATTGTAGGTGATATGTTCTGTATTTCAGCTATCGATCCCGATTGCCGAAAGAAGTCGAACAGTATTGTGATGAGGCTTCCTCTTTTATGTTGCGATCACCAATAGTATGAATAGCGGGTGGACATCACTGTTTGGGGTGCGAGCAACAGTTGTACGAGATTATTGCATTAGTATCGTTCAGAGTTGATTTGATCTTGTTGCTATTGCACACGTGGCTTTGTTACTTTAACGCAAGGAATACTATTGAACAATGTGACAGTTATCATGATTCAATGATGCTGTGATCGTTGGTTCATGGAAATAGATAGAAAGTTTGCTTAAAGTTTTTCTAAAAGTTGAATCATAGAATTGTTTGAAGTATTCAATTCGTTTGTTATATTTTATAGTATAATAAATCCATCAGCTTCTATCTGTTGTGCTCGAATTGATGAATACCGTCGTTGTGGCGATTTCCCCCTACTACGTACTCTATTTTTGATGACATTCTTTTTCATTCTTAACGCTTGTATTGATGTTATTAGTGAATATAATGTTGCTGTGGTTAATTCTCTTTCAACATATTGTGGCGTAACCTGGTATTGGAAAATGGAAACATCGAAGTACTGGAAATAGTGAGATGGAGTATTTTTTTGAATTATTCATATGATGTGTGACTATTGATGATCTCACAGAGATTAAGCTTTTGTTAGAAATGAAGTCAAATCTATGAGCAAATGGTTTGTTAGATTTATACTTTTGTTCTGCAAAATCGATTGGTGTGGTAATGACATTATTGTAACTTCAAGAGAACACTACTATTGAACTGAATGATTGTTTTGATGATACATGTATGACGTCATAATGAACGGGTTGGCAAACTTATTTGATCTACTGCAGAAACATTAAGATAGTTGAATGACAGTATACTTTGAATATTTCTTATCCAATATAATCATCGTTTCTGTCTTTAATTTGAACGACGAACGCTACAATCAGCAGAATTTGTGAATAATTCAGTGGCAGTATAGTGTTTCATCTTTTACGTGATATTTCACTCCGACTGTCACTATAGTGCTTTCAATGTGAAACAAATAATTGAACTAGTATTTTGAGTCAGCAAGTAAGTGTCTTAAAATATTTCCCTGAACTCAATTTTTAGATTCTTTTTACTTTCTAGAAGGCACAACATGGAATCGACGCAGCCATCCAACAGCAACTGACACACAAGGATATTATTGTTTTTTTTTGCATTTTCTCAGACTTTTTCTTTTCTTTTTCATTTCATTTTTTTGTAACCCATTTTATCTACCATTTATCGTACAATTTGTATCTTATTTTAATAAACAGTACCATTTTAAAAAAACTTGCTACAGCCGCCCATGTGGAATTGAAACGCAGAACATTCATGATTTTTAACTTGATTTAATTAATACACGACACGTACAGTACCGAACACTCTAAATAAAAAGTGTTTCCCCAGAAATCGTCTTCAGTGTACGCGAAATTGTTTTCTAAAACTTTTAGAATTGTTGAGATTCAAAACAATTCTTCTTTTCCAAGAGAACCTTGCCGTATTTTTACATTCTTAGTTGTATACAGTTGTAAATATATTAAATGACGAATTTTGCTTTGAAACTTGGTGCACTGCACTAAATCGTCGTTCAGCCAAGAAATTTCATTTTTCTCTTTTTTTATTGAAATAAGTTTTGTTCATTATACAAACACTACTATCTTTGAAAACATTGAAGTGAAACACGGGAAGTTCTTATGTTTAAAGATTCTTTTAACTAACTTACGTAAAAGATTTATAGACAATTGTATGCTTTAATTAATGAGAAAATATCCATTTCTAATAGAGTGAAACAAGCATTATTATTTTAGAAGTAAAACGAATTCTTGAGATGTATCCATATGAGCAGTGATGAGTCAGAGTATGATTATATTTTCTTTGTGTTCTTGTTCTTTGTTCGTATGCTTATTTTGTATTTCGAATAAAAATAAAGGCACGTGCCTCTCTAATCAAGAGATATTTTATCATGCATATGCGGTCTAGTATTGTTTACTTCAACTGTTGTAAAATGAATTGTGATCTGAAGATGAGTTACTGTAAGTTGTCATATAGCTTGAAGTAATATTTAGTTTTATTAGCTCAGATAATTCACATCTATTTATGAAAACAATACCGGGGTGTGTGGGTGTGGGTGTCGGTGTGGATGTGGGTGTAGGTGTGGATGTTGGTGTTGGTACCTCTTTGTCTCATTGGGAAACCACTATATCCGCACATCCACACCCTCGCAGCGCGTTTACTTTCCTGATTTTTTCATGATAATTTTAAAAAATTCTGATTTTCCTGTTTTTTGACAAAAAATCGTGATTTTGCCCTGATATTTTATTTTTTCATTATATAGAAGTAAACTTGCATGGTTATAACTTTTCCTGTTATTTTACTCTGTCTATTTTTAAGATTTAAACAAAATATTGTTAGAATATTTTTACAAAAACGAATGAGAATGCTCAAAATATACTTATATCAATCATTCAATTTCTCTCGTAGGTCATACTAGCATCAAATTCGAGTTTTCTTGTCCGGATTCACTCTGAAACATGCGTTGAGTCTCTAATCAATTGTGATGAGTACGAAATTTCGTGATTGATCGGATGATACAGGTTTGGATGGAGGCCATCAAGAAAAGCAGGAAGTTTCACTAAAAATATAGATGTAAGTGTGGGTCTCTTATTCATCGAATGCCTTATTACACCCACACCCACACCCACCACACCCAATGTTGAAGATGAACTTTCACTTTCTTAATAGTGCCATCGTCAAGTGATACCTGGATTTTTTTTATGTGAACTGAAATCTACTTGTAGTACAAATTTCTGTTCCTTTTCTGATCTGAAAGTGAAAGTGTAAAATCAATTGAGAAAAGGTGAACGTTTGTTCATTTATAAATACAACAGAGTGAGGAGGTGTGTGCGTGTGAGCCTTGATTACAGGAAGAACACCCACACCCTCATCTCTTCTATTCAGTTTGCACTTGAAAATATTTTTCCATCACTATTTCTGAATTCAATACATTTTTTTCTATGATGGTCACATACGAATGCTGTTATTTGGAACGATAATTGTGACCGAACAGAATTTCAGATTGAAGATTCGAAAAAAACATGTCGGATCTTGATACTTTCACCTCTAGTTACAACGAATTTTCTATGAATTTCGGTTCTGGAGATCAACACGATACAAAATGGTCACTCTTCATGCGTAAATGAAGTTAAAAAGCTTGAGAAAAGAAAATCACGACGGACTATATGATTGCTATGCTTCGCATCATATTAATAATCGCTTTATTTCTATATGACCTTCTATGAACAAATAACACGCGTTATAAATTTATATATAAGTAGGGTAGGAGTGAACCGTAAACCCCCCATACCCTCACTATTGAACTTGTACATACTGTTTAAAGGGTTGATATTTTTTGTAGTGCTTCATCATATTTTCTGCAATGCCTCTTTTACCTAAAATCAAGCGATTTTATTCAAAATTCTTCCCGCCTATTAACACTTGATCTGTTTATTCGATGTTCTCATATTTCATGTGAATGAGACCAAATAGAGGTTGTAACCCAGAGAAACGACAACTCCAATGGCTACAGTTGTTAAAGTATTGTAAAAATTATTAAGAAGAAGAAGAAGAAGAAGAAGAAAGAAAAGCGGGCAATGGAATTTTCTTTTGATATAAATAACATTTTACCTCATGAAATAACTATCATTAATGGAGACTATCGGATACTGAATCACGGCCAAACAGCACGAATATCGTTTGTATTGTCATTTTAATATTTTCATTGGAATGAACTATTGTCATTTGTAGAGCGCCTGACAGACTGACATCTATTATTGATGCCTTAGGTGACGCTTCTTTTAGAGTAAATATCAATAGAAAATCTTCTTTATTAGTTTCAAATATTTTGTTTTTCTTATTCAGGCACAGGGATTACCTGGTCCGGTTACTACTGCACGTAAATTTCGTATATCTGATCATCGTTTATATCTTGTTAAAAATTCCAGTGATCACAAGTATGAAAGAATGTTCTTCTTTTGAAACTATTCGGTTTTCTAATTTTTATTTTTATTCTAGTAACTTAGGTTCGGTCGTTGGCTTTTTAAAAGTTGGTGCAAAAAATTTATTCGTTCATGATTCTCATGGTCAAGTACATGAACGAACTCCGTTATGTTTATTAGATTTTTTCGTTCATGAAAGTAAACAAAGATCAGGATATGGAAAACAGTTATTCGAAGCAATGCTTGAAGTAAATTTCTAGGAATGTTTGATTTTTCTATAGATTAATTTTTAGTTCGAAAAATGTAATGCTTATGAATTAGCTATTGATCGTCCATCAAACAAATGTCTTGGCTTTCTTCATAAACATTATAGTCTTTCATCGCCAGTTCGTCAAGTTAATAATTTTGTTGTATTTGGCGCTTTTTTCAATCGATCACCGAGTAAGAGAACGCAGAAAGTGAAGTTTGTTTTTGTTTATTTTTGTTTGCATTCTTAGTCAATTTAAATCGAAAACTCTCGGCATCAAAACAAAGAAATGAAACAAGCTTACCAAATGATCTTTATCGGCGTCAAGAGTCAACACCTTGGCTGTTGCCATCAGAAAAACAACAACAAAATCGCCGCCCATTGACCGAACATAGTGAATTCAATCGCAATAATAATCGATTAAAAATATTATCGGACGAAAACGAAATGTTTAATAATCGACAACAAGTACCAATCATGGGGTAATGATTCACACGAAAAACAAGCTTTTTTCTATTCTATTTGAATAGAAATCCATTGTTTAACAATGAGAGAAAGCCTGCTTCTGCGTTCCCTACACCATATGGTCATCGCTATACTCAAAATGCTTTAACGCGTGAACCAAATAAAACAAGTATGTGAAACATTTTCTTCTTCTTTCGTTAATATTGATTTTTCGACTTTAGATGAAATCAGTCATTCAGCACCCTACATGCCTCGACACCAAGCCGAAGTATTCAATGAAAACAAGTAAGATTTTATTTGCTATTCGTGTTTGCGCTCATTCTTCTGGTTTTAGTCCTTTTCCAAGTCTTCAACGTTATAATACAAATCCAGTAATGTCTTCAAATAAACAATCAACAGCAAATCCACAACAGAATTTTACATATAAAGAATATCAATCATCCTCGACTGTCAGTGCGCCTCCGCAAAGAAATTTTGAGATTCCATCAAAATCCGAGTCACTTACTTCAATCTATACATTTCCATCATTAGTTAAAACAAATGCTAATTGGCGTAGACCACAACAACAACAAACAACTTATGATGGTTCATCATCATCGACATGGCGACTTTTTGGTGTACATCGTTTACTTAACTAATTCATTTTTTTTATTGTAATTTTGTACATCTAAAGTACAGTTTAATTTTTGAAAACAGATCGATGCTGAAGTATGGCAGAATTTTACAATTGTAATTGTAATAAATTTTTATGTTTTATTTTCTGTGACTGACGGAGTGTGCAATACTGACTGCACATGACAAACATTATCGAATAATTATCTTTTTTTATTTTTTGTGAAACTATGTTATCGTCTAAATACAGAATATGACTTATGAGAAAGCTAGCCGCCGCTTGAGCTCATATTGAAAAGTAAAAAATAATTTGCTGTAATTAGTATAAGAAAGACAATTTACTGATGTTTTCGAGGAAATTTTCAATAATTTTCATGAATTCTACGTAAATATTCAAGAGAATCTATATCATAAAGATTCAAGTAGCGTTTTGATTTGTTTAATTCTTAATGTTTTTGGAATTTTCGATCTTTTATTCGATCATCTTCAGCGTACTAATATACTTTGACAAGATCTTATAGTCACATAAACATGAACATTGACAACGTTTACAAAGAACTAATTTTACAACAAAATGATGAATTCGATATGCTACTAGCTAATCTTCAAATTTTCAAGGAAATTTTCAATAATTTTCATGAATTCTACGTAAATATTCAAGAGAATCTATATCATAAAGATTCAAGTAGCGTTTTGATTTGTTTAATTCTTAATGTTTTTGGAATTTTCGATCTTTTATTCGATCATCTTCAGCGTACTAATATACTTTGACAAGATCTTATAGTCACATAAACATGAACATTGACAACGTTTACAAAGAACTAATTTTACAACAAAATGATGAATTCGATATGCTACTAGCTAATCTTCAAATTTTCGAGGAAATTTTCAATAATTTTCATGAATTCTACGTAAATATTCAAGAGAATCTATATCATAAAGATTCAAGTAGCGTTTTGATTTGTTTAATTCTTAATGTTTTTGGAATTTTCGATCTTTTATTCGATCATCTTCAGCGTACTAATATACTTTGACAAGATCTTATAGTCACATAAACATGAACATTGACAACGTTTACAAAGAACTAATTTTACAACAAAATGATGAATTCGATATGCTACTAGCTAATCTTCAAATTTTCGAGGAAATTTTCAATAATTTTCATGAATTCTACGTAAATATTCAAGAGAATCTATATCATAAAGATTCAAGTAGCGTTTTGATTTGTTTAATTCTTAATGTTTTTGGAATTTTCGATCTTTTATTCGATCATCTTCAGCGTACTAATATACTTTGACAAGATCTTATAGTCACATAAACATGAACATTGACAACGTTTACAAAGAACTAATTTTACAACAAAATGATGAATTCGATATGCTACTAGCTAATCTTCAAATTTTCGAGGAAATTTTCAATAATTTTCATGAATTCTACGTAAATATTCAAGNGCTATTGCACAATTGAACCAATTTTTCTTTTCAGTGGGGATTCGCTTGAGTATGTGTGCCAATCACAATTTATATCTCACTAGATGCAGCTCGGTGAGCTCTATCGATTGGTGTATGACTTGACATGATTAGCATAACTATACCATCAAGAGCCCCAAACTACTAATAAACACACATAAAAAATAGTTATTTTCATGATCGATTCGCCTGACTATGTGAGCCAATGATGATTTATATGTCATTAGACGCAGCTTGATGAGCTCTATCAATTTATATATGACTTGATATGATTAGCATTACTATATCACCAAGAGGCCCAAATATTAATTAAACTACCGCAAAAAATAACTCGTTTCGTGAGCGATTCCTTTTGCTTGGCGTGCCAATGATGATACTTACATCATTCGACGCAGTTCAATGAATTCTACCGATTGATGTATCATTTTCCGTGATTTGCACTATAGGATCAACGTCAGTACGCCAACAAGTAGTGGTGTAGCATAGGATACAGTTGTTTTTGTAGATTTGCGTAACTAGATGTCCTTATAATGCTGTGTGTAGCGTTCGTTAGATCAGGATCAGTCGTTTCAATTGATGTTCGATTTATTATGGTTAGCACTACTGCAGCAACAAAAGCACTCCAACTACTAATTGTCTCACATAGGCAATAATTAGTTTGATCGTGATCCTGAGCGCCATCAATTTATGTATCGCTCAACACAATTAGCCCTGATACATCTAAGACAAGAATCGAAGTAT